CCCTGTCACTTCCGGGTGTGAGATGATGTGTCCCCGCTGCTCCCTGTCACGTCCGGGTGTGTGCGATGGTGTGTCCCCGCTGCTCCCTGTCACTTCCGGGTGTGAGATGATGTGTCCCCGCTGCTCCCTGTCACGTCCGGGTGTGTGCGATGGTGTGTCCCCGCTGCTCCCTGTCACTTCCGGGTGTGAGATGATGTGTCCCCGCTGCTCCCTGTCACGTCCGGGTGTGTGCGATGGTGTGTCCCCGCTGCTCCCTGTCACTTCCGGGTGTGAGATGATGTGTCCCCGCTGCTCCCTGTCACGTCCGGGTGTGTGCGATGGTGTGTCCCCGCTGCTCCCTGTCACTTCCGGGTGTGAGATGATGTGTCCCCGCTGCTCCCTGTCACTTCCGGGTGTGTGAGATGATGTGTCCCCGCTGCTCCCTGTCACGTCCGGGTGTGTGCGATGGTGTGTCCCCGCTGCTCCCTGTCACTCCCGGGTGTGTGAGATGGTGTGTCCCCGCTGCTCCCTGTCACCTCGGGGTGTGTGAGATGGTGTGTCCCCGCTGCTCCCTGTCACTCCCGGGTGTGTGAGATGGTGTGTCCCCGCTGCGTGCTGTCACCTCGGGGTGTGTGAGATGGTGTGTCCCCGCTGCTTCCTGTCACTTCCGGGTGTGTGAGATGGTGTGTCCCCGCTGCTCCCTGTCACTTCCGGGTGTGTGAGATGGTGTGTCCCCGCTGCCACTTGTAGTTCCCTTTGCTGACCCCGTGCATCACTACTGTGTCCTGCTGTGGTATAGGGGGCTGTCAGCAGAAGTCACAGCGAGCAGCAGGTAACACGTATGCGACGCAAAGCAGCCTTGTATACCGCCATGGGCTGGTATTTAGTCCTTTCTGTCTTTTACAGGTTGCTTCTGGCCTAACTTCCTTTAGCTAGTGACACGGTCATTTTAATGACAGCAGTTTGGGCAGTGATTCCTATAGGGGGCTGTTCGCTGATATGAGATTGCATTGTGTGTAATGGTTAGTTAGTGTTATGACCACACAGGTGCATCTTGGTGTCACAGGCAGGCTTCATTTATGACTACAGGCCTAGCAGTTAGTGACACTCCAGTGATAATTGCATGGCATGCACCAGGGCGGGTTCCCTGACAGCGAAAACAGTTCACCATGCCTGTGTCATGTGTGTTGAACATGCCACTTGTAGTCTCCATCAAAATCCTATATGACAGGTTGACAACACTGGCGCACAGTTGGGAGATAGGTACAGAGAGTTGTCACCCTATTACAGGAAGTGCCTGAACACTGGCAGGATCCCCAGGTATTCTTTTAAAGGAAGCTGCAGATTTAACAAGGATGAACGCTTGTGTAAGATTTTAGTGATTGAGTTTACATCTACTTCAAAAAAAG